TCATTCGGCTTGATTGGTTTTGTGAATTCACACTTTATCTCTCCGTGCGTGCCGACGACGTCGACGACGCGGCCCTCGACGCCACTCTTAGTTTTGAGGTTGCAGCCGAGGAAAGCTTCGGCGTCAGCTCGGCTGTAAAACATATTCTTGATGACGCACCGTCGGCTGGAGATCTTGCCCGGGTAGCCGCACACAGAGACGGTTTTTACGATGTCGCGCTTGGCGTCCGCGCATAAATACTGGCCCGAGCCGAAGCATACACGGCTCGGCGTCACGACGCAACCGATGTTTAGCGTAGGGTCTTTTTTCTCCGCAACTTGCTGCAACTCCTGAGTGAAGCGCTGCAGTGGCTGTTGGTACCAGTAAAGCGTAGGTGTCTGGAACTGCTGCGTGAACCCCAGGTAGCAGGCCAACGAGCGCGTGAGCTTGCCAGAAGGCAAGTAGCGGCAGACTTTCAGCTTATGCAAGTGCGGATTAGGACTTTGCAAACCAGCCATCGAGTTGTAGCTGGCGCTCAACCAAAGGCACGACGCTGTTTCTCTACGAAAGCCGTTCTGCACAGTAACAAAAGACTTGCGCGGCACCAACCAATCGAGCGAATCACCGAACCGTTGGAGCGACGCGAATTGCACGCTGACCGAACATTCGATAGGGTAGAGGCTAGACAACAGCAAAAAGCCGCTGCGCTGAAACTTGGCACAAAGCTCGCCGCAGTTCTCCGATTTCCGCACGGCGACGGCGACGCGCAACAGTCGCAGCCGGTGCTGAAAACAGTCGAGCACACAGTCGGCGACGCGCCGCACCTCGGCGAGCTTGGTTTGCAGCGAACGGTCCAGCGCGGCTGCGAGATTTCCGTAGTCGAGCGCGGCGCGCGTTTCAGCTTGCTCCGCGTCCGGAGGCGGCAAGCGCGACTCAGCATAAGACTCGATGTGACAGTACTTCGCCAGCCGCTCAAGCGCCGAGCGGTCATCGGGCAAATCAATCTCGTCCTCGAGCTCCATGTCCACCCAATTCCTCTTTTTGAAGGTCGGGCCGCGCTTACGCTCGGCGACTTTCTCCGCGTTCTCAAACCAACGAGCGCAGATTTTAACAGGGTCTTCGCGTGGGTCGTCCAAGGCCTCCGGCTCCGCAATGGAATCGGTCGCGAAGTCTGGAGCGCTGCCGCTCGTCGCGGCAGGTAGGTCCTCGCTTCCGAAGTTAGCGGCCAAAATTGTCTCGCCGTACACGGCGTTTTGGTTCTCGCTCGCGTGCAGCGTGAGTTCGCGAATTTCCGCCTCGGCAGGGCTCTGGCTGCGAGTCGCGTTCAAGTACGTCAACGCGACCGGAATGAGCGTGCCGACGTCCGCAGCGTACAAAGGAACGCACGGGCTTAAGTACAAGCCTTGCGGGACGCCCGACAGCACGAGAGTGTCGTCTGGCCCCTCCGTAACATCGGTCGCAATCATGTAAGCGCGTCGATTCTCCCGCCACGCTAAGCCGGATTTGGACGCCGTCTCGAGCTGAATCCGCATCAAGCGGAGCGGGTTGACAAGTTGTGTGTCGCTGAATTTGTCTTCCATATTGTAGTACACCGCGGCGATAAGCGCCGAAACGTCGTAAAGACGTGTTTCCTTTCCAAGCGTAGTCTCAACGCTGCGCACCAAGTTCTGCCAGTGCGCGCCACAGTAGTTTCGGAAACACTTCCCTGACTGTTCGACCAGCGACTCTGGCGACAGCGCAAATACCGGCACGATGGGAGGCGAACCCTGCGCGAAGAGCAGCGACAAGTACTCGTTCGAAACTTCCGAGAAACCTGCGTGCTCAATGTCGCACTCGCCGAAACATAGCACGATATAGTCCACCGCCTTCGAAAGATCTAGAACGTCGAGCAGCGCAACAGCGTCGCAGCGGCTCTCCAACTGCTGCAGATTGTAATAGTAGAAAGAGAAGCACTTAACCGCGTTATTGCTAGCGGGAACTTCGAAGCAACACGCTGAGAAGCCGCGGTCGACGGAGAGAAGTTGCTCTTTGGCTGCGCGCAACCGTTGCAAAGTGGTCACACGAGTCGACTGTTCGGTCGAAAGACTCAGATAGGCTCTGAGAAGACTCAGCACGAGCCTGGGGCGCGCCGACGCGGAGGCTCCGACGAAGAGAACGCTCGTGAGAGCGGGGTTGAGAGCAAACTCCGCTCCAATAGGGGCGTTTTTGCGACCGACGCCCGCGCTGCGGACAGCTTTGCGCTGGCCGGTCGTTTTCTGGGCCTTCCTCACTTTTGCCACATTCAGTCTCTGACAGGGCATTTATTATATATTGCGCTCTGAGAAGATGCATTTTTAAATACAGCCGCTTGGCGGCAGAGTTACGGAGCTCGGTGAAGGAGCGCAGCCACTTTTGCAGAAGCACGTGTTGTAGTCTATTTTTCTGCATGCGTTTAGAATTAGCCGCTGTGACATATGCATGAACCAGATCGCGCTGCAGACTTTCAGCCTGAGATTCTAAAGATGCAACATAAAGTTGCTCATGCCGTCGGCACTCGGAGCTTTCAGGCTTCCGAGAACGAAGCAGCAAAGCACACCATTGGCTTTCTCGCGCTACAAAAAATGGAAATGCGACACAGCATCAAACTTTGCGATCAGATGTCGCCCTCGTGCGCGCACGAATCCGTGAACACTTGTCAACCTCCTAGTGTGCAGCGACTGCTGAAAAAACCAGAAGTTGCAAGCTACTTTAATCCGCTGGACACTGCGACCGCGGACGCCGGCAATGGTGTCGACGCAAGAGGTCTCGCGATGCACGAGAACCAAACGTTAAACTCCGGGTCGGGCGCCACAGCGGCCGCGAACGAGCCAGAGTCTGCTAGAAGAGCAGAAACTGACGCAGAGTCGGAGAACGGAACGCTGTTCTTTTCGCGACGCCAGATGCGGTCGCTGCGGCCGCCGGACCACGACGTGTTCCACGCGCAGTACAACACTGCGCTGGATCATGCGCAGACTCCATCGGTGCTGCACTTCGTGCCGTCGCTGAAGCAAGCCGGTCGCAACACGCGCTGCGCGGCGGCGCACCGCCCGCACATGTTGCCGACGCCGAAGCGCCGCGACGAGTTGTACCAACAAGTAGTGCCGCGGCGACTAATCCGGAACACAAACGAGTCGCACATTTACGCGTCGGGCGGCTGCTTCGGGCCGATCGAGGAAAAGTTGCGCATTTCGAGAGGCGGCGTTGGAATGTACGGCGTCTGGAACAAGTCAAACATTCAGTTTGGCTGCCCTGCAGAAGATGCGGAAGAGTCGTTTTGCAAGACACCCACTCGCGTGGGCAGCAACGTGGCAGCAGCAACAACGCAAAAGCCCTTCGACGACAGCAGCGCGTGGCGGCATCAAAGCACCGCGTACAACAACTCGCTGAACCGATACTCGAGTTACGCTCCGCAGCGCGCAGGGTTCGGTGAAGCGCAAGCCCAGTTTGCAGGCCCGAATGATTACACCCCGCACATATATGCGAGCAAGTCAAAGGAACCTGTGACGCAGGAATTGGAAAGCGGCACCGCTTCGCAGCCGGACAGCGAGACGGACGAGACGATGCGCGGCGCGGAAGAGACCAGTTTTACCGACACTCCGCTGCCGCGTCGAAGCGCGGACCGTGTAGCGAACGCACAGCAGCAAAAATCGACACGCGGAAGCCAAACTGCTTTGGACCTATTAGAAAAAAAGCCCGCGGGGGTTAAGGGCGACAGCGCGCATAACACTACGGCAAAGCTGCAACAAGAATTGTCTGAGGCAATGACGGGCGGCGCAAATCGCAGCTCAGATGCTGCCGAGCGAGAGAGTTTGCGCTCAAAGATCGACGACTCGGCTGCTGCGCGATCACCTGAAGACAAAGAGGAATCAGCAAAGAGATCACATTCTGGCTACCCGGTGACGCAAGCGCCGGAGGATATTTCGCAGGCGTACAGCTCCGTGTCGAACGCTTCGCGTAGTAAGTCAGCTTCCGGGCAGGAATTGCTGTCCCACTCGGCCGAGTCGGTGCAGCGCGCGCGCGCGGAAGGCGGGAGTACAAGCGAAACAATAGAAGCCGTAAAGCTTCCCATTTTAAGCGAGCTGCAGAAGGCTGCTTCGAGCGTAATTAGCGGATCTGGCAGCGATTTGGGCAAGGCCTCGTTCGGAGCATCCTCCACACCGGCAGAAGCGGAGCAGCTTCATACAGATCAGAGCGCGCACAGTGTTCGAGCGCCAAGCCCAACAGCCGTTGCTGCGACGCACGACCCAGCAGAGCGTTCGCCGCACTTTGAACCAGTCTCTCGCTCATCGCTGCACGGCGAGGAGAAGCCGCAATCTCTCGCGTCCGACGCGCACAGCACAGCAGCAGTGCCTCCGCAGAGGCATAGCGCAGCGCAGAGCGTGGAAGACGACGTCGTTGATACGGCAGACAAGATTCAGAACTCCAATAGCGGCTCCTCCAGCGAGCTGGCAGAGAGAGCTTCGTGAACCGACGTTGTCGCACCGCCTGGCGCAGTCGCGGACGAAGCCGTGCAGTTCACAGCCACCGTCCACGCAAGCGGTAGCTTTCAGCCAACGCGAGATTCGGCTTCATCCGCCATGAATTATTAAGCGAAGTCGTGGAAGAGCACCACGCAGAAAACTGCAGTGGATTGCGAAGCGGGCTGCAATCTCGCCAGAAAGTTTTGCGGTGCTGTGCGCAAGTCCGAAGCACAGTCCGACTCCTGTGGAGTGCAGCCTGTGAACCCTTTACGCGAAAAAGGCAGCACGAATTTGGAAACGTGCAATAAAGGTAGGCCACAGGCCACGCAATAATTCTATTGAACACGAATGCCAGTTGCTGGCGACCGCTGGCGCGAAGTCGCCGCGACGCGCGATACGGCCTCGTGCCGCGCAGTCGGCGTGCGCCCTGCGCCTTTGCGCGTCTGTTTCAATATTACCAAATAAAATCTTCGAGATACTCTCAAAGAACCGCGAGACGCAGAGCTTTGCGCAGCGCGACACCCGAGCAGGCAGCGCGGCGCGATGATTTTTGCCGTGATGGTGATAGGCCCCGCGGGGTGCGGCAAGACTACGTTTTGTTCGAACATGCGCGACTACTACAGCGACGCAAAGCGCCGCGTCTGTTTGGTGAATCTCGACTGCGCCGCAGACGCCAGTGAGCTGAAGTACGACTACGACATCCGCACAGAGGTGACGACGCGCGACATAATGAAGATCTGCAACCTGGGCCCGAACGAGGCGCTGCTGCGCGCGTTCGAGTACCTGCGCGACGAAACGCACTGGGTCGAAGAGGTGTTTGAAGCGAGCATCTGCGACGGCGAGATTGTGCTTTTAGACTGTCCGGGGCAGATCGAGTTGTACATGAACTCGAGCGCGTTCCAGGACGTCGTGAAGAGTCTGCAAAATTGGGACTATCGCCTGGTGACGGTGTACACGATGGACGCGAGCTTCGCGCTGGACGCGAACAAGCTCGTGAGCGGCACGCTCTGCGCGCTGACGGCCATGTTAAACTTGGCGACGGCGAACGTCACGATGATTACGAAAGTCGACTTGCTGGACGCGGCGCAGCGCGAAGCGCTGCAGCGCGTGATTGAGGAGCAGAACTACGACACGCTCCAGACGCGCGCAGACGCCGCGAACGAACGGAACCTTGCGCTGCTCCGCGAGCTGAACGCTTTGCTCGACGACTGGAGCTACGTGACTTTTCTCTGCATGGACATCAACGACGCGAACACTTTTGCCGACTTTGCCTGCACGTTCGACCAAATCTGGAATTACGACGAGTGTTGCGAATATAATTACCAAAACTAGGCGCAAAAGCCGCGTGCTTCTGACAAATTCCTCGCCATGGTTTTCGCTTCGACCGCCCTGCTGCGCGCCTGCGCGCTGATCGCGCCGCTTGTGCTAGCAGAGAGCGCAGCTGAGCCGCAGCTGCGCAGCTCGCCCGCAACGCTCGCCGGCTCCGACAGCGCAGCACTGCCCGACTCGTACAACCTCGTGGCCGTCGACGGCCACACGCCTGACGCGGAGGAAGAATCGCAGGCCGCGGCTGCGCAGGCCGCGGCGCCGCCGTTCGGCGGCATCATCGCGGAGCGCTTCGTCCGACCCGACGCGAGCAGAGCGTCGCGCAGCGCCGCTCTGACGCCCGACCACTCGTACGAAGCCGTGCGCACAAAAATAGACGAGGCCACGCAACTGCTTTCGGAGCTGCACGGAAAAAAAGCATGAACTCAGCGCTGCGCAGCGCCGCCCGTGCGACTAAGCTGCAAACGCCGAAACCTTGTTCTCGAGGCCGTTCACGTCCGCGCCCAGCATTTTGTCGACGACTTTGCCGTCGTTGAAGAATGCGAAGGTCGGCAGACTGTTGATCTCCATGCTCATGCAGTACTCCTGGAACTCGTCCACGTCCAGTCTGCAGAACGTCAAGTTTGTGTGCTTCGCAGCGAGGTTCGCGAACGGCTCGGCCATGCGGCGGCAGGGACCGCACCAGGTAGCGTAAAAATCCACCACAACTTTCTTGCCGGGCAACAGATCTTTCAGCTGCTTCTCGCTAGTAATGTTGATCACTTTGGCTTCGTTGTTCATCTGCAAAAACGTTAAATTAATTAAATATTAGCAAACGAGTTTTATCAGTTTATGACCCTTTTCTTCAAGTGGCGAAGCTTTAAGCTCAAGCATAACGACTTTTTCTTTTTCTTCGCGGCTCAAGACGCGGAACTCGTGTGCATCCTCCTCGCCGACTGTCTCGTAACTTTGCATGCAGCGCCACACCTCGTCGGCCGCGCGCCGGCAGCGGTGCAAAGCGCCGCCGTCGCGCAGATCGTCGGCGAACGCAGCGCGGAAGCGAGCCTGCGGCGCGAGCGCGCAGGCGCGAGCTCCGCGCTCGACTTACTTTTGAACAGCGTGCCGAAGGGGCAGCGCCGCGACGGCTACTGCGCAGCGGCGCTGCTTGAGCTGTTCGGCTGCGGCGCTTTCGCGCACGTGCCGCGGCTGCCCGACGCGCCGCTGCAGCGCCTGCACGCGCTGACGCGCGAAAATGCGCTCACGCAAGGCTGCGTTAGCGCGCGACTGCTGTTCCGCGGCAAAGCGTTCCGCTTGTTGCTGCTCTGCACGGCGAACTCCGCGCTGTACGGCGCGTTCTACTTCGCGGACGCGGCGCTGCCCTCTGGGCTGTACGAAGCCGACGCCGCGTTTCCCATCTACCTCGCGCCGCAGCTGCGCAACGTATTCACGCTGCACGCCTTCGGCGCGCAGCCTGACGCGCTGAGTTTTTTCCCCGCGCTGGACGCGCCGGCGTCTGCCGCGGCGCCTTTCGCAGTGCAGCTGCCGCAACTACTCGCGCCACAGTACATCGCGGAAGTCGGCGCCAGTTTCTTTGCGACCGTGCACGACTACGGGATCCGCATCCGCCGGATGAGCAACGTGCTCGAAGATTACATTTGCGTGACGTTCAGCGACGACCCGTGCACTATGTTTTCATCGTTTCCGCTGGTCCAGTGGGTGGAGCTCTACCAGCTGGAAGACATGGTGTTCGTCGCGCTGCTGGCCATTACTTTCCAGTTCACGCTGCTTGCGCTGCGCGACGGTTGCGCGACAGTCGCGCTGCAGACCAACCTGCGCGCAGCGTCGAGCGAGCTCCCGCAAAAGGCGCAGCTCGCATTCGACGCCCACGCAAACTGCGGACGCGGCGCAGCGTCCGCAACCGTTTGCCAAGCTTGCAAGAAACAGCGACTGCGCGTCTACCTGGCGTACTCGTTCGGCGTGGTTTGGCTGCGCGACAGCGCGCCGCAGCTCGCTGACAGTGCCGCCGCAGCAGCTGCACCGTCGCCGCCTCTTGCGCTAATCAGCTTCCGCATTCGGTGCGCAGCGGACGGCGCGCGCGAAGCCACTGCGTTCACGGCAGACGGACAGCTGTTCGTCGCGCGCGTCGCAGACGCAGAAACGCCCAACGGCGTCGCGGCGTGGACCACGGACAAAATCGTAACGTCCGAAGTGTTCGGCGCCGATGTCGACCTTACGCCGTACCTCGACTGTGAGACGCGGTACGACACGGCGCTGCAGCCGCACCCGGACGCAGCACTGCTCTGCACGACGCTCGACAGCGAAGTCTTCGAGCTGGCGTGCTCGGCCAAGTGCGACCTGCGAAACGTGCAGCAGGAACTGCTTGCGGAGCTTTGCAGCTTGGTCAGCAGCGCGGGCCGCAGCGCTGAAGACGCGCTGCGCACCCACTTTGCGTACCGACTCGTTTACAAGCGCTGCATCACAAGCAACTGCAACGCCGCGCAATTTTTGAGCTTTCTGCAGCGCTACGTGCAACAAAATACGGAGCCGAGCGCGAGCGACCTAGCCGCGCCCGGCAACGCTGCGAAGGAAGACGCGCAGCTCAAGTCTGCTCGGAACGCCGCGCTCGCGGAGACGCACAAACTCGGCGCAGAGCGCGCAGCGCAGCTGGCAGCCTTGACTGCGACGTTCAGCTTCGTGTTTGACGCTGCAGGCGCGGACAGTCTTGCGCTCTTGCGCGCGTTGGCTGAGCTCGCCGCGCGCGACAACGCGCTGTTCCAGCACACGGCTGCGCTGTTGTTCGGCCTGACAATTCCGGCGTCGGTGCACACGAGCGACGCCGCGACGCTACAGCAGTTTCTCAAACTCAAGCTAGACGTGGTTGGAGTGAGCGTCGAGCCGGACACGCTCGCGCAGCTCGCGAACCGCCGCAGCCACACCGTCTCGCTGCGAAACGTTGCCGCTTTGAGCGCTGCGCCCAACTTTTGGCAGACAGCCAACTGGACGGCGAGGCCGCATCTGCGCTTCTGCCCGATTTGCGAGTTTTTGGCGGGCGCGCTGTGCGAGGTCTGCGGCAGCGAGGCGCAAGGGTACGGATTCGACTAGCGACTGTGCGCCAGCGAGGCTCCAGTCAACCAATTTGACAGCTGACGTGTGGTGGAGACACGAACGTGGCGCGCAGCGCTAGCTCGCAGTAGCTGTCGTTGGCCCGAGCCCGGCTATCTTTTTGGAGATGCTCAGCGCGAGAGCGATGCGGTTTATCTTGTCGTTCACCGCAGCCTTATCGCGCTGGTAGATGCGCGACTTCAAGCACAAACTCAGCGCTTCGTCGAGCGCGCCGAGCTCCAGCTTGCGAGTGACAACGAGGTCCCACAACGCAGCCGTGTTAGGGAAGCGCACGAGAACGTAGGAAAGGTAGCGGTCGAAGTCTTCTTCGCTGCCCGCGCGCAGTAAGAAGTCGAGCACGAAGTAGACGAGCGAGAGCTCAAAAACTTTGCGACGCAGCGCTTCGTATGCGATGTTTTTCAGGTGCTGCCGCAAATTCCGAATGAGCGCGCGGCAATGACGCGCGACGCGCAAGTCGTCCGCGTGCGCGGCCTGCAGTTGCTGCGTCTTCAGTCCGAAGTAAACGGCCACGTTGTTGATATAAACGATCCAAGTCACGAATGCTCGCAAGCGCAACGCAGCGGAGTTCTGCGCGCGCGCGCGCAGCTGGAAGGTGAGGTTCTCGGTTAGCAGCTTGTTGGCCTTCTCGTCGTCAATGAGCTCCAGCAACTTCGCAATGGCGACGGCGCGGTTGAAGTAGCTTTGCGCGGCGACTTGAAAGCGCTTGGTGACAACCGGCATCGGCCGGCGAGGTTAAATTAAAACAAGCAAGAGAAAAGCAATTAGAAAAGTTATAAACGAAAGACTGCAGTGCAGCAGCCGCGCCTATTTGCGCAGCCGCGCCGCTGACCGCAGAATCTCCTCCTGCGCGTTTCGCCGGTAGCAGCCTCTTTACCTGGATCGAGCGCGCATCTTTCTACGCTTGCGCTGCAGACGGCGAGTGCGCTTTTTCTGCCACTTCCAGCGCATTCGGCTTCTAGACTTCTTGTACCTCGCAGCACCGTGACCCATGGTAGTAAATTAAATATAAAAGTCTCGTCTAGACATAACAGCAAATTCGCTGATCGCGGGCAGAACAATATCGTTTCAGGTGCACCGCGCGCGGCCACGAGCGCAAAATCTCGCGCCGCGCCGTGATCGCCCGCTCACGCTCGGTTCTCGCGCAGTAGCTCTGCCGCCAGCGCGGCACTATCGCGCGATTCGACCAGCAGCACGGCGTGCCGCGAGGAAAACAGACGCTGCGCGCGCTCCGCGAACGCAGCCCGGCTGAGTTCCGCAAACTCGGCGCGCTGCCGGCGTAGGCGCTGCACGGCGTCTGATGAGCAGTAGTGCGCGATGATGCTCACGGGCAAGCTGCGGTCGCTGCAGCAACGTGTCGAAGCAGCGTATTCAACAGCCTTGCTGAACCGCTGAAACGCGAGTTCGTCGCTGACAGTCCGGCTAAACAGTTCGCAGTCCTGCGCGCCGGCGAGCGCGTCTTGCAGGTGCTCGTAGAAATCCAGCAGTCGCTCGACAATTAGCTCGCTTTTTCCGCGCGTGACCCACGTGAGCGACAGCGCGAAAAACAAGGCGCCGTCTTCGCGCAGCCGGAAAGCGACGTCCGTGCTGTACACGGCGCGCTGGCCACAGCGCATGAACCGCTGAAGGTCGAGTTTCAGCAGTTGCGCGATGGCCTGCCCGACGATCGTGTTCGTCTCCGGCGACGCGAACAGCAAAGCAGCCGTGGCAACCGGGCTTTCCCCGGACAACTGCAGCAAATGGTAGCGGAATTTTTGCTGACGCGTGAAGTGGACCCAGCGCGCGGCATACAGCCGCGCGCATCCGACTTCCTCGCCTCCCAACTGACACCAGCAGCGCGCCGGTTCAAGCGGCGCGGTTGCACTCTGGGGTGCAGGCCCTTTTTCTGCAACGGTTGCCTGACAAAGCCATGGCCGTATTTCGCGCTGCGTGAACGCGCGTGGAAGTTCACGCTGCAGCGCAGCGTGCAGTGCTGCAACGTCGCAGTCTGCGTCGCACTCTGCGTCGCACTCTGCGTCTGGGAAGCAGCAGACGTAGCGCAACTCTGTGCTCGCGCCGACTCCCTCGCTGCGCGCATCTGCATCACACAGCTGTTTCGTCAGCGCTGCCGCAACTGTCGCGCGGAAGCTGTCATCCGCGAACCGTGTTGCGGCGCGATCCAGCAGCACGCCAAGCACCGTGCTACCGCTGTCCAGCAGCGAGCTGCATGCGCTGTCATGGCTAACAAGGATGGCGACGACTTCATCCAGTTTTGGCGCGCAAGCGGTTTCCGCAACGCGCAGACAGAGTTCTGCGAGACTCGCCAGACTCTGCGCGCTGAAGCACACCTGCACGGCTTCTGTAAGTTCATTGCATCCAATCGCTTTCGACACCCACAGGTTGCCGCTCCGGAAGTAGTCTGCTTCGGTGAGCAGGCGCGGCGCGTGCGCTCGCAGACTGGCATACAGCGCGTCGAGCACCGCAGAGCGCAGCAGCTCTGCCTCCGCACCTGCGCCTTCCGCGCCGGCGCCTTCCGCGCCTGCGCCCTCCGCGTCGGCAGCTGCCGAAGCTATTGCTGCCGAGGCACTGCCGCCAAGATCGACACAGCGGAACACGAGCGCCGCACAGCGCGGCGTGCTCGGGAGCCGCGCGGTGCGGTAGGTGAGGAGCTCGGCGGAACCGGTCCCGTCAGGGCCGGTGGCGCGCTTCCAGGCTACAGAGCGACTGCCAACGAGTAGCGAGTCCATACGCGCAAAGCTGCGGCGCGTAAACAGCGCTGCTGCGCGACTGTCGGTCGAGTAGCCGCGCGCCATACTCGCGCTCGAGCACAGTGACGAGCGCTTGCGCAAGCTTGGATCAAACGCGAGCCGATGCGGCACCGCGATGCGCTTCGCAGCAGCCGCCCACCGCGTCCACAGCGCGCGGCAGTTCGCGCGCGCGCGATCCGTCCAGCAGCTTTTGCCCGTGCTAGAATCCAGAACCTTAAAATAGGCCGGGTCGTTCGCACCCTCGAGCGCGCAAAAGCCAGACACGTTTTGTTTCCACTCGAGTGGCGCGTGATAAAGACAGGCGACGGCAGAGCAGCTCGCAAGCTGGTGCGCGAAAGCGCGGATCAACTCAGCAGCTTCGTCTGCGGACGGCTGCAAGCGGAAAGCTCGCAGGGCTGCGCGCAGCGTTTCGTCGGCGCTGCGCGAAGCAGAGGCTGCAAAGCTGTCACTCATAGCGCAGAGTTCGTCTGCGAGCGCGCCGAAGTAGCCTGCGAAATCTTGGTCCATCTTCACCAATTTCGCGCGCGCGTGCGCTTCGGAGAAGTACTGAAAGTTGAAGCCCTCTGCCGCTGCGGCGGCCATTGCAGCGAGCCAGGTGTCGAATTGTGCTCTCAGCGCCGCCGCGAGTTGGACGGCGCAGCCGGTGCTTAGCGCAGTGTTGCGCTGCAGGATTTCGGAAACGTCCATCTTAAGCAGCAGTAGGGCGTGGCCGCAATAGCACGCAACGAGACTGACGTCGAGCACGACGACGTTGCGGGTCGCGCCGACGAAGTTCTGGAACGACAGCGCGCCCGCCGAGCGTGCGAAGTAGTTGAGCACCGCAGCCTGCAGCACTACGTGCTCAGTAGTTGGGTAATTGAAGTACATTGACAGCGAGCACGCTTCAGTCCCGCCGCACAGCAGCAAAACGCGCGGCTCGAGCAGCAGCGGCAGTTTGGCACGCGCTGGCGACGCCTGCTGCGCCGGGGGCGCCGCGCGAAGCGCGAACTCCCGCGCGACTTCCTGCTCGTTTTCCGTCGAGTGCACCAGCCAGAACGCGCAACAGTCGTTGAGGCAGCGGTCGAAGTGCTGCGCGACCAAGTGGTGCAGCCAGTCTGCCGCGGCGTCGTCGGCGCCGTCCGGCCAGAACGAGAACCAATTTCCGCTGGGGCGGTAGTGGCTGAAGAGACTCGCCGAGCGGTCGGAACGGTGTGACTGGCTCAGTGCGAGCATGTGCTGGAACACCGGCTTCTGTGCGAGCAGCGCGGACTCGTCGTCCACCGCCGCAGCTTCCCGGCGCACCAGCTCGCGCGACAAGTTCCTCTCGGCGTAGAGCGCGTCGAGCAGCGCGCCGACGGCCGCGGCGCCGTGACAGGCGGGAACGCTGCAAAAAATCTGCGTCGAGTCCAGATCGGTCGACGCGTTAATTTCGCCGCCACGACTCGCGAACCACTGGTGCAGATTCTGGCTGTCCCAGCGCTGCAGCGGCTGCTCGAGCAAGCAATGTTCGGCCAGATGCGCGACGCCTCCGCGCAGCTGGCGCAGGACGGCGCCGCGGCCGCGGCCGCGGCGCGCGAGTTGCGTCTGGACGTCAGCGACGTGGCCAGCGCAGAGCACAACGCGCACGCTGGTCGCGCTTCTCGGCTGCGCTGCTTGGCAGTAAAACAGGGCGCGCTCGGCGTGCTCGCTCCAGGTGCGCAGGTGACACTGCTTGACCGAGTTGCGAAGCGCCGCGGGCAAAACGCGCGCGGAAATTTTGCGTGCCGCGGAGCTGCCGCCGCTGAGCGGCGGCGCGACTGCTGCGTGCGCAGCAGCGGGCGCGTTGCGCGCGCTGGACGGCGCTGCGCAAGTCAAGGTAACGAAGCGAGAGTGCGCGCCAAAAGCTTAACGTTACGTTTGCGCGGCACGCTTCGCAGGGTACATTTTTTAACACCGTTCCGGTTGCACCATGATTCCGGTTTGTGAGTATTGCAAGACGGCCATCGTAGATCAAAATGATCTGGCGTGCTACTTGACGTGCGAGCACGCGTTCCACCGCGTCTGTTTGATCGCCGGCGGAATCGGGCATTCGCGGCCAAAGTGTCGCGTCAACTGTCTGTTCGCGACGTGCCGCGAGGCGGACGAGGCGCTCGCGCCCTCGCCAGCGGCCGCGGACGAGGAGCGGCGCCTCGGGCTAGAGCCGGAGCTCACGCTGCTGGGGCACGAGTTGGTGGCGAAGCTGCAAAGTCTAGACGAGTTTCCGAGTAAGTGGTCGCGCGCGCTACGCAGCGCTGAGTTTGTGCAAAGAGGGACTACGGCTGATTGACGAGATGAACACAGTGCTGCTCCTGTACAAGCAGAGCGTGTCGAGCGCGGAGCTGTTCGAGGAGCCGCTGCCCGCGGCGCGGATCGAAGCATGCTTGTACCACGCGAACGCCAATTTTTCGAGCATCAAACGCGGAA